AATGGTTCTGATTGACCCCTCTCAGTGTATAATGGTTCTGGTTGACCCCTCTCAGTGTATAATGGTTCTGGTTGACCCCTCTCAGTCTATAATGGTTCTGATTGACCCCTCTCAGTGTATAATGGTTCTGGTTGACCCCTCTCCGTCTATAATGGTTCTGGTTGACCCCTCTCAGTGTATAATGGTTCTGGTTGACCCCTCTCAGTCTATAATGGTTCTGGTTGACCCCTCTCCGTCTATAATGGTTCTGGTTGACCCCTCTCCGTCTATAATGGTTCTGATTGACCCCTCTCAGTGTATAATGGTTCTGGTTGACCCCTCTCCGTCTATAATGGTTCTGGTTGACCCCTCTCCGTCTATAATGGTTCTGGTTGACCCCTCTCAGTGTATAATGGTTCTGATTGACCCCTCTCTGTGTATAATGGTTCTGGTTGACCCCTCTCCGTCTATAATGGTTCTGGTTGACCCCTCTCAGTGTATAATGGTTCTGGTTGACCCCTCTCAGTGTATAATGGTTCTGGTTGACCCCTCTCAGTGTATAATGGTTCTGGTTGACCCCTCTCCGTCTATAATGGTTCTGGTTGACCCCTCTCCGTCTGTTTGACTCACCGATCTCGTCCTTGCACTGCACAGGTTTGGTGGCGAAGGAGGTCTTCCCGCGGCCCACCTTGTTGACGGCAGCGACCCTGAACTCATGGCTGCTGCCGTCCTTCAGTCCGCTCAGAGTGAACTTCCTGTCCAGCAGCTTGGTGTCGGCGCCGACCCGCACAAAGCTGTCGCGGCCGACCATCCGAGACTCCAGAACGTATTCTGTCACCTCGGAGCCGCCGTCGTACTTCGGGGTGCCCCAGGACACGGAGAGAGAATCCTTAGAGACGCCCGTGATCTGGAGATCCTCGGGGCGCTCAGGAACCGCTGGGGGGGGAAGGGATGGGTATTAGATATATATAATAATAATAAGGCAGGAAATATGATTAAAAGTAAATCCCAAAAATAAAAAACATCTTCTGGTATATATGGTGCTGTGCTACGTACAGATGGGGTCCTTGATGAGCACCATCTGCTCCGTCGCGATGAAGGGTCCCATCCCGATGATGTTCTCGGCTGCGATCCTGAAGAAGTACCCCTTCCCGTCCAGAAGGCCCTGAACCACGGCGTTGTTCCGGGTCACGGTGTACGACACCGAGGTCCAGCCCATCCGGTCCGACACTCTCTTCTCGATGATGTAGTTCGTGACGGCCGAGCCGCCGTCGTCCTCCGGGGAATACCAGGTGAGTTTACACGAGTCGTTGGTCAGGTTCTCTCCGGTGAACGGGACACCCACCGGACCGGGGACGTCTGGGGGGGGGCAGATTACATTTGTTACATACTATTTGTTATAACTACATTAACCCTATCACCTGGCTGTACCCTGTAACTCTTTTCTCTCTTTGTGTTAACTAATAATAATAATGGTGTTTCTGACGTACCGAGGACCTCCACGATGACGGCCTTCTTCCTCTCTCCGCCCTCGTTCTTGGCGGTCAGCGTGTAGATTCCCTGGTGCTGCCGCCTGCAGTCTTTGATCACCAGAGAGTTGGAGATGCCGGTCTTTTCCACCGCCGCCTCCTTGGGAACCTCTGCGTCATCGCGGGACCACGAGATCTCCGGCGCCGGCTTCCCCGACACGTAGGCGATGATCCGGATGGTGGCGCCGGCGTGGACCACGATCTTCTCTTTGACCGAGGCGTCCAGGTCCATCTCAGGGGCGACTGAAGGGGGGAGGTGGGGGTATTCAGTATAATATAGACATGAGATGCTGACACAGTTTTTATTCTGGTTTGTCTCTTTTTATTAGAAATACTTTCATTTAAGTTTGACTTTGAAGTGTGATATCAGACATTACCCAGTGTTATGATAAAAAACTAAGATAAAAACATACAAATATTAATAATAATCATTCAAATAAATAAAAACAAATAATAATAAAATACAAAATAAAAATGATACTAATAATGATAATAATGATTAGAAAACAATACAAGTATATAATAATAAGAAATATTAATCCAAATATAGTAATGTAAATGTTTAAATGAAGAATATTAATAATAATGATTAAAAGAAAAATGTAGTTAATAAGTAAAATAAATACAATAACAAAAATAATGATACTTAGGAAAATTGTGAAATATGAAAATGAGTAATCTTTATAAAAATGCAAGTTAAAAATATAAGCTAGGCGTGACGAGAGTTCTGGTATCGAGTGAAAGCCCTGGATCTTACTGGTTCTGTCTCTGAGCTCGATGAGCTCCGTCACCAGGCCCGGTTCTCCAGGCCCTGCAGGGTTCACGGCGCTGACCCTAAATCTGTAGAGCCCGCCCTCCGTCAGCCCGGCCACCACGAACTTAGTGCCTCGGATCTCCGTGTCCTTCGCCTGCAGACAGGAGCAAACATCATGTATCCACTGATGCCCGAATGTACTGCTACCGTTTAAAATACATTTTTAAAACAAATCTAGAATCTATGATTTTAAATAATTTTCCATTTCCCAAAAAGTTCCCCCAGCTATCTGATTGGCTCCTGGACATCATAACTCCTGCAGGTGAGTCCAGGTGTTGCAGGTCAAACATTAAATGAGCCAGGTATTATATATTTATGTCTCTTTCTCACCTTCTGCCAGCCTTCGTCCTCCGGCCCCTTCTCCTCTTCGTCGCTGCTCAGCATCAGCAGCTTCCTCTGTGCCTTCTTCTCCTCTTCCTCCTTGTTCACCTCCTTGAACTCCAGGATGTATCCGGTGACCTTCGACCCTCCGTCCAGCAGCGGTGGGATCCACTCCAGCTCCACCGAGGACTTGGTCCAGTCCATCACCTTCGGGGTGGGGGGTCCGGGGGGCACTGAGCAGAGAGAGGGGAAACCATCATGTATGATAAGGGTCGGTTTCAGACCTGGGTCAGTGTGATGAGCTCAGACTGACTATCGGCTTGGACCCCTGGGTTGTCCTGACTGACCTCAGAGCCCCCCTGAAATAAACCATCTATTTCTTTGGGTTCAATTCCTCGAGTGTCACTGTCGTAAATGATTACGTTTAATTTGAGACGATAAATACAAATCAATTAGCAAACGTGTGAGTTTAGTTTGAAAGAGTATGACAAATATTGTTATCGAGTGTAATTTGTACATTTAATCAGATTAATAACATTAACAAAGCACTTTTTTATCTCTGAAATTCAGATCTTTTTCTGCATAATAATCTCTCTGAATTATTATTGCTCTAATATTCAGTCATTATTACGACTCTGGTTTCCTGGGGGGTCTTTTATTCGTTACTGCAGGGTCTCAGCACAGGTTCATTATATATATTAGACTGAATAAATAACTGGATTTGATTGGGTTGAGCGATACATTAAGTTTCCAGGTACAGAGGGTCTCTTACAGATGGGGTCTCGGCACAGCGCGGGGTCAGAGGGCATTATGATGTTATATAGTTATAGAGGGTCTCTTACAGATGGGGTCTCGGCACAGCGCGGGGTCAGAGGGCATTATGATGTTATATAGTTATAGAGGGTCTCTTACAGATGGGGTCTCGGCACAGCGCGGGGTCAGAGGGCATTATGATGTTATATAGTTATAGAGGGTCTCTTACAGATGGGGTCCCGGAACAGCGCGGGGTCAGAGGGCATTATGATGTTATATAGTTATAGAGGGTCTCTTACAGATGGGGTCTCGGCACAGCGCGGGGTCAGAGGGCATTATGATGTTATATAGTTATAGAGGGTCCCTTACAGATGGGGTCTCAGCACAGCGCGGGGTCAGAGGGCATTATGATGTTATATAGTTATAGAGGGTCTCTTACAGATGGGGTCTCGGCACAGCGCGGGGTCAGAGGGCATTATGATGTTATATAGTTATAGAGGGTCTCTTACAGATGGGGTCTCGGCACAGCGCGGGGTCAGAGGGCATTATGATGTTATATAGTTATAGAGGGTCTCTTACAGATGGGGTCCCGGCACAGCGCGGGGTCGGAGGGCTCGCTGGGCAGGCCGCAGCCGGCAGCGTTCACAGCGATGACTCTGAACTGGTAGAAGCAGCCTCCCTGGACGCTCAGCACCTCGAAGTTGTTCCCGAGCGGCAGAGCGCCGATGGTTTCTCTGTTGGCTCTCGCCCAGCGCTTCCCCGACGCCTCCTTCTTCTCCACGATGTACGTCAACACCGAGGAGCCGCCGTCGTACTTCGGCTCGTCCCAGTTCACCGTCATGGAGTCCAGAGAGACGTCCGAGATGGTGGGCTTCTCACACTGACCCGGCACCGCTGTGGGGGGTTAGAGAGAGACGTTTAGCACAAGAGCTTTACGAAACACACTGGATAACTATTAACAAGTCTCAGAAATGGTATAAAAACAAGGTAACATTTTTAAACAATACTTAGAAAACTGGATAAATAAATAATTATAATCAAATTCAATAATATAAAAAATAATTAGACTTAAAAAAGAGAGGTATTTTGTACCGTTGCAATTCCACAAGTAACTCATCATATTTATTATATCAAATAATATATTAAAAAATAGTTAGATTAAAAACCAGCTATATTGTAGAGCGCTGCCAATGCTGAAAATGTACTAAAAATACATTCAAAATGTTGGTAAAATATATCAAACATATCGGCCGCTCGTCGCTGTAAAGGAAGGCAGGGAGCGCTTGATTTAATCACCAAGAGAAAAGGGCTCCGGTATAAAGAAGTGGAAGATAAACCTGATCTGAACTTTAGATATTTCAGCGTTAACTCACTGAAGAGGTTCCTGGCCTTCTCGGCCTTGCTGACCAGCGGGGGTCCGACCCCGAACTTGTTCTGGGCCATGATCCTGAACTCGTACTCGTGGCCCTCGGTCAGGCGGGTCACCACGTAGGCGCAGTCCTTGGGGTCGTTGGAGACGTGGACCCAGGACTTCCTGCTCTCCTCGCGCTTCTCCACCACGTAGTTCGTGATCTTCGAGCCGCCGTCATCCTTCGGAGCCGCCCAGGCGAGCCCGATGCGCTCAGCGAACACCTCGGTGAAGGTGACGGGACCCTCGGGGGGGCCGGGGGGGCCTGGGG